TTTGCAGTGGGATAGCTATTGTGGTGACTTTGTTTTCTAGTACCATGTTTCGTCTCTACTTTTTTTTTGTCTTTCTTTGTTGTTGATTATTTTGGTATACAATGTTATACTCCATAAAGAGTATCTCGAGAATTATGGGCAGTTTACTCAAATTTGTGTAGATCGTTTTTTGACGTGGAAAATAAGACTGTGGGAAGAAAGTCAGCTGTTAGCTCCGGCGAAGTTTGTTTGTGGGTACGAGGAACAGAGGGCAAAAATATCAAAGCTAAGGTGCATGAACAGAAAGGTTAACAGAGGTAACAGATCATCTAGAAGTGTTAGGATAAAAGAGTTGGAATGTTTTTTAAAACAACAATGCTAGGTGGTTTGAAAAATTATGGCTCGAATGGCCCAAAACACCCAAAACGACGTCGTTTTGAGTGTAAAACGATGTCGTTTTGACACATTCGAGCCATTTGAGAAAATTCGGGCCACCAAACATTTTCCTTTTTAAAAAATGGAAGGAGTCGTATGCAGCCAGTATCGGACTCCTCTTACGTGCCGGAGATTGGCAGTCAGTGGATATAAGCGTAGTTACTGTGGTCATGCACCTTTTAGGGCGGCGTATGTTCGCAAATAGTATGTGCAGAATATTCCCCGATACATTAAAAAGAATAACGAGGGGAGTAAGGAAATTACAACTGTATGATAAACGGATAGCTATTGTGGTGACTTTGTTTTCTAGTACCATGTTTCGTCCCTACTTTTTTTTGTCTTTCTTTGTTGTTGATTATTTTGGTATACAATGTTATACTCCATAAAGAGTATCTCGAGAATTATGGGCAGTTTACTCAAATTTGTGTAGATCGTTTTTTGACGTGGAAAATAAGACTGTGGGAAGAAAGTCAGCTGTTAGCTCCGGCGAAGTTTGTTTGTGGGTACGAGGAACAGAGGGCAAAAATATCAAAGCTAAGGTGCATGAACAGAAGGGTTAACAGAGGTAACAGATCATCTAGAAGTGTTAGGATAAAAGAGTTGGAATGTTTTTTAAAACAACAATGCTAGGTGGTTTGAAAAATTATAGCTCGAATGGCTCAAAACACCCAAAACGACGTCGTTTTGAGTGTAAAATGATGTCGTTTTGACACATTCGAGCCATTTGAGAAAATTCGGGCCACCAAACATTTTTCTTTTTAAAAAATGGAAGGAGTAGTATGCAGCTAGTATCGGACTCCTCTTGCGTGCCGGAGATTGGCAGTCAGTGGATATAAGCGTAGTTACTGTGGTCATGCACCTTTTAGGGCGGCGTATGTTCGCAAATAGTATATGCAAAATATTCCCCGATACATTAAAAAGAATAACGAGGGGAGTAAGGAAATTACAACTATATGATAAACAATTAAGGGACGTTACATTTGACAACAGAGATGTGGCGAGATTGCTGAATGGGATTGAGTTGGGAAATAAAAGATGTGACCGTCAATTGGACAAAATCTTGGTTAAGGATATAAAATTAGTTGGGAATGTTCAATTGGGACAAGACGCAAAAGAGGAAGTTATGGTTCATCACGTTCTTTTTTTCATCATAAGTGATAATAGTCCGTTAGATTCCATCCCCACACTTGGCAAGATATTTATTGGTGCTGGTGAGGGTAATCCTGAGACCTAGATTGTTGATGCTGATCAATCCGATAGGTTTCGTATGCTAAAGAAAATGAGATTCAAGCTCGTCAGTGGCAAGGACAGAGTATGTTCGACACAGAATAGAGGTTGCGGATCAATTTTGCCCACTGGATGTCTGGACGGACTACAAAGATACGTTGTTCGGAAATGTGGGGCTTATTCAGAAGGGTGCAATATATTTAGTAGCCGCTACTGTTAGCGGAAAAGAATGGAAAATTACGTTAGGCAATCGAATGTATTTTAAAACTGTTTAGAATTGATTTTTTATATGCAATTTTATTTTTAATGTTCAGTTGGATGGAGGTTGACAATATAAAAACGGGTGTTGTTGAAGATGTTTCAACAAGTGATTTCAGTTGTATTGAACTTGCGTTGCCTAATTTATTTTCTCAGTTGATGTTAAGATATAAACAAGAGAGTATTAAGGTTAATAAAATATTCCCCCTTTGCGTGCCCAATGCAAGTGGGTTGGTTAGAGTAAATGTGTATGATTGGAGGTTAGATGGTATTGACCTCAATTGTAGGCGTATTTTATTTTCCCTGTATATTGTCAGTGCAAATTAGTGTATTATGGGAATAGTTATTGTTCCATTAACGAAAAACAAGTGCCATGGATGGTGAAGTATCGACTCGAAGATTATTGTTCCATTAACGAAAAACAAGTGCCATGGATGGTGAAGTATCGACTCGAAGATTCAAATATTAAAGGGGTGTAACATATTGTAACATGAAGGGTATTTGAAGTATTCTACAAGTGAAATGCCAGAAGATTCGCAATTGAGGGCTCCATCTATTGTTATGTTATTCTAAAAAATATACGAAGGCAAATGTTGATGTTTGGCATTGTGCAAGTTTGTTTGTTTACCGGAGAGGTGGAGAGATTTGTTGTTAGGAGGTTTTGGGGAAAGTGGTTCAGTTATTGATGAACGTAGAGGTCGTTTCAGCCTATCCGAGACTGATGTATGCAGAGGTGGTGATGGTGCTAGTGATGTTGATCTTGACCTATCGATTTCGGAGGTTAGTGCTGTTAGAAAAGACGAAATTGATAAGAGATGGTCTGTTGTTATGGACAGTCCAGAATTTTCCGATGTTTTACGAAATGTGAAACTAATTATAAGTTTGAACAAAATAACTTTAGATATAATAATAAAACAAAAACCATATAAATTTATAGGAATTAGTGTCATATTGCAATTTTTTATTATCTTTGAATGATACATTCATATATATATTACATATAATAAATATATACAATTATATATTTCATGCGCCCACATGTCATGTCTTGCATTTTTTGAAAATTGGCATGTCGGCTTGTCCATGTCGTATCTGTGTTGTGTCACGTGTCCATTTCAGTGTCCATGCTTCTTTATTACATATACCCAGATAACTTTGTCTATATACATATACATATTTTTAAAATCCAATATACTCAATACCTCTCAAGCTTTAAGTTCAAACACAAAATCATTGAAGTGCAACTGAATAAGTATTTACGGATGATTGTCCTTTGGAAGCCAATACATAACTGTATATATGAATAAATGCGCACAAAGGAATGCCCATTGAGAAATAACCATTGAATACCAGCTAATGCATGAATGTCTTTGAGGAGCAATGCTCATTGGAGACCGACTAATCCATAGACACACTGAAAGATCATTGAAAGACTTCAATCTTGAATACAGGCTTTATTATGACAACAAGCACCATCATATGATTAATCTTGGTTGGTTCTATTTCCTTTTGGAATTTAAGTGAAGAATCTCCAGATTTTGCAAGTGGGTTTGCATGCAAACGACTACGAGAGAGAAAGAAGTCAAAATTAGCAATTATACTTTGAAAAATACACACTTAAAACAAAACAAAGCATTTCAAAACTGCATCAATTTACACTCAGAACAGAAGAGGATGGGTCTAGAGAGAGAGAGAGACAGGGGAGATCAACCTCAAAATAGTCTCACCACAAAACTACACCAAATTTACACCAAGCTTACATATGCACCACCCAATTTAGCTCCTAAAGTTCTTTTCTTCAATTAGATGGTAGACAGGTGTAGCGAGAGAGAAAGAGAAGCAGAGGGGCAGTGAGACCTTGATCTGTTAATACTTAATGGTGAGTGTCAATTGTGGGTGAACTTGGCATCCAGTGGTGGGGATGGGGTTGCAGTGGATGTTTAATAGGGGAAGAAGAGGAGAGAGAAAGAAATAGATGGATTGCTCAGAGAGAGAGAGAGAGGATGGGCCTTGACGGTTTGGCTCGACTTATAAAGCAATAGCTGATCGGAAGGTGGATGGGGTGTTTTTAGTGTAGCTGGACATTGCTTATTGGAAGGTGGATGGGTTTTGTTTTTTAGTGTAGTTGGACTTGACGTTTCTTTCATGAAAGATGATGTGGGTAGTACCTTTCAGAGAATTTTTTGCCTTTCTCAAAAAAATTTGACTTTTCAACATTGTATCATATGTGTTTTTTCTTGTTTGTAAGTTTACATTGGTCATTTCACTTTCATTTTTTTTTTTTTTTTTTTTTTTGGGGGGGGGGGGGGGGGGCTCCGAATCCGGCTCTGACAAGGAGGAGGATGGTATAATTTCATAAACCACAAGGAGAGTTCATGTTATTGCACTCTCATTCCTGTCAGAATTTGTCAACAAAAAATTGGAAATACATAATTTCCTTTACTCTTAAAACAATTACTTTCTAATAAAATAAATTTATCAAATATAGAATATGACTGTTATGAGAATTTATATTTGAACAAACCAAGGTGTAATTATTTCAAAATTGTAGAGCTAGCTGTAATTTCTTCATTACTCAAGGGAGGTCGGTGTAATTTTCCCTTTTTTGATTGAATACGGTGTTCTCTAACCAACTAGGCTCGGGTACACATGATGCTGCAAGTAATAAATTTTATACATTAGAAACTTTGGAGTGTGCAATACCCGTAGGATCTAGTTTTGAGACTCTTTAGTGGTTTTGGATATATCAGAGTTAGCATTTTCTCTTTGATTATGTGGCTCATGACCGTAGTTTCTATGGTTCTATGTGATTTTTGGCATCTTCTTTCATGTGGGGGCTGTTCATTCTCATTTTTTATTTCTCTCCTTCATTGCTGTCATTTTAAGAGTTTCTTGCCTCATGTATTTTGATCATATTTAGTTATTTTATTTGAATCTTTCATTCTTCCTAGGGAAAAAAATTCAGTATCTCATCTCATAATTAGAAACATGAATATCGAAAGGTTATTTTCCTGTTAGATTTTACCAATCTATGACATGAATATCACTCTTCTAATTCTTCTTTCCTAAATTTTGCTTTTCTTTCTATTTTAATTTCCCAGCTGGAAAGCATTTATGAGGATGCAGCAGCTGCTGATAGAAGACATAACCCATTAAGTAACTTCATCCCTACCCTAAGGTCTGGAGAGTGGTCTGACATTGGAGACCGTCTTCATATGGAGGATACTCACATATGCATTACTGATCTAGCACAGAATTTTGGTTGCAATTTACTTGGTGAGGAAGCTGTCTCCTTCTATGGTGTAAGTTCTTTAACCTTCTTTGACCACTGTTTGTCTGCTGTGACAGTTTCCACAATTAATATGTCAGTATCTGTAGTGTTCTAGGTCTTAATCCCGACTTATTTATGTTAAGTGGTAACCGTTACTCTATACTGACATTTTTTTTTTTTTTTGGACTTCTGAAAAATTATGGGTTGCATTTGACCTTTTAGTTATCATAATTGGGACCTCCTCATTGTTTGGAGCCTTGATTGATGAGTTAACTTGTCGGTTGGGCAAGATTAGACCAAGAATGCCATAATCGAATATTTGTTTTGAGTAGTGTTCACTCTTTTGCCTTTTTCTTTCTCCACATTTTGAATCTTGATGTGAGGCGAGAACCGTTGGAAGGCTTATTTCTGAGGCTTCAATTTAGACACAAAATTGACCATATTCCATTTCCGAATGAGTGAGATACGCCTGTTTGAAGTCACTCACCAGAAGTTGTCTAGTCAAATCCGCACGAGCGGAAATTTGAATTCTGCATGAGCGGATTTCGCAATAAAGCCATTTTTTCCTGAGTTGATCCGCACAAGCGGTTTTAAAATCTGCACGAGCAGATTTTGCGCATCCAGACATTGATTTCTGTGCTCTTTTCACTCAAATCAGATCCCTCTCTCTTGTTGACCATTTTCTCATCAGTCTCTCTCTCTAACTTATCTTCTCTCTCCATTCTCTCTAAACTCTCACCAATTTCACATTTTCTTCGATCTACAAAGATCGAGCGAGATTTTGATACAAAAATGACTAGCATCTCAAGGACTACGTTTTGACTGGTGGAGATCAAATTCTGGTGAAGTTGATTTTTAGAGTTTTCTCCTCTTCTCTCTTCGAGGTAGGGATTTCTTTGCTCCTTTTCAATACCTTGTTATAGATAGATATGTGGTAAATTTTATTGCATTAAAAAAAACTTGATTTGTTGTGTATTTTTTAAAACCATGTGATGAGGGTTAGGATTTTATGATCTAGAGTTAAATCTTGTGTTTTATTGTCTATGTATGAGATTGTATCTTTGAGGAAAATGTTTAAGAGGATTAGAGTAAAAAGCCCTAATTAATTGTTTATGGGTTATGAGAAAGAGGGGGAAATTGATGATTTGATTTTATTTGAACCATATGGGGTGTTGTGTATTACAAATGTGAAAATGGGTATGTAAGAAAATAAAGAAAGTCATCATGAAATTTAATTTGTGTTAATTGTTATCTATGGTTTTATAATTGTTAAGTTGTAATAATTGTCGAAAAATCAAAATTTATGAGAAATAAAAAAGGGTGTTGGTAAATGTTGCATGTATAAAAGATTTTTAGATTGGTTAATTTCGTTTATGAGGGTTGTGATGAAAATCCCAAAATCCTTTGGTTATTTATTTGTTTGAGAGATGGGATTAATTTGTGTTACATATGTGTTGGATTATGAAAATAAATTATTAGTTGAGTTTTGATAATCAATGAGAAAGATATGACGATTTGTTATGGGTATTGGGAGTTTGGAGAGAAGGAAAAATAAATTTTAGAAATCAATAAAACATTTATATACTTTTGTGAAATGAGAAGTAAGGAGTTGACGATTTTTCTTTAAAATAAGTGAATAATTGTATTCGTGATGAATTACTACTTAATGATGGGATAGTAGTGATGGAAGAGACTTTAATTATGAGTTTTGAAATCGGCGTGAATTAGAAGTTGAATTAATTGGAGTTGAAAGATGAAAGTTATGTAACGTATAAATGTTGATAAAATCTAAATCAAGAGGATGAAATTGAATTCATGGACTTGGTACCTGTTGTTTATGAGGCTGTGTCCTTGGCCGTCAGTAGAGGATGGTATTGACGTTGTTGAATAATTTGTGAAACTTGGAATAATTTGCCAAATTGTTGAGTTGAATTGATATGGGTTCCTCTCCTCTCCGGATTTGTGCCCGGTAAAGTTTGGCGCTTTGACATGGGTTCCTCTCCCCTTCGGCTTGCGCCCGGTAAAATGTGAATGGGTTCATCTCCCCTCCAGCTCGAGGACCGGTAAAGTTTGGCGCTTTAAAATGGGTTCCTCTCCCCTCTAAGTCGCGCCCAGTAAAGTGGGTTGTGATGGTTATGGATTGATGAAGCGGGGGTCCGTTATGTGTTAATTAAACATAGTGTATCTTCATACTTGTGTTATGATGAGAAGGGATGCATTATTGGCTTTCCTTGATTGTGACCTGTAAAATATGGTAATGTGTTAATGCTGGAAATTTGTGTTAATAAGATAGTGGCATATGATAGTGGTGTTGGTGGCATGTATATAATATGATAGTGGTGTTGGTGGCATGTATATAATATGATAGTGGTAGATTGTGGTAATATATAATATGTAAGTGGCATATAATGGGTTATGATGATGTTTGTAATATCTCCTATATAAGGAGTGTCATTTGGTCTTGTAAGATAAGAAGTTTTGAATATAACAGAAATATATTCCTTCTTCCTCATATTTTCGGAGTTCTTCTTCCTCATATTTTCTAAGTGTTAACACGTTTATTATTGCTTTTATATATATATATGTATTTGTGAACGTTCATTTTATATTTGTACTTAGGGCCATAACATATACTAATTGTCCTTGTAGCCGTAATGAGTTGGAATGTAGAACAAGTATATCGTTTAGATCGATCTTAGTAGATTATGGTAATGTGATGAATGGTTGAGATTACTTTAAATGCAAACGAAAAGTTTTGAAAGGTAAGAACTGGTCTTTATTTCTTGTTATGTTAAAAAGGATCTTTTGGAAAATTGAATTTATGCAAGTATATTTTGAAGTATGAAATATCACATATCCTATATATATATATATACGTGGAGTGTTCATGATTATAGCTATCTGTATGTTGCTATTGTTTAAGATTACTGGGATTCCTACTGGACCTTTGTGTTCATCCCACGTTGCTAATTATTTTTCAGGTATAGAGTAAAGAGTTGCTCGAGACTTGAAGTCTGTTAATTGTTGGCCATGGGGCCTTTTAAATGCAGGCGGAATGCTAATGTGTTATAAAAAGGGTTAATCCTTTTTATATTTTTCATTATTTTGTAATTGATGACGTAATGCCTATAGGCATGTATTGTATTTCATTACATGTACACGAGAGAGGACATTATAATTTATTCCTACCTAAATGCCTTTGATGTTTATTATTATTGAATTGGACTGATTTAAAGGAAAAAGGTAACATTATTTGAGTGATAAAAGTCGGGGCATTACAGTATCTTCACGATACGTATCTTATGATTCGATATTTTTAGACAAAAATCGATACGTTTCATCAATACGTATCTTAAGTTGAATGTATCTTACGATTCATATACGATACATGCATACAATACATGTATACTTAAATTTCTTTAGCAATTTTGAAAAGTAAAAATAAAAAAATTAACTAAACTTATTTTATGTAAATTAAAATTATTGGAATTTTCATTGACTTATTAAAAATAATATTCTTGAGATGAGAATGGTACATGTCTTTTATTTTTCTCTACCTTTTAGACAATATCTACTTGTCTAGTCTATTATTAAGTATTTTGTGTTGTTGATATGGACCTACTTACACCAGTTAAAATTTAAAGTTTTCTACTACATACAAGTTATTTCAAAACTTAAAAGTTATAAATTAAATATTAAAACCTAAATGGTTAGTTAAAACAGCATTTTGTACGTATTTTAACTCCTCTCTACATTTTCTATGTATTGAGGACTATACATTTTATATGCGTTTTATCTTTCATGAAACCTTACTTTTGCAATTTTAAGAATTGTACACTATTTGGTGTCTTGTTCTCATAAGATATTTGTGTTTGCTATAACTACATTTATTTTTCTATCTATTTTTAAGGTTGTTATATCTTATCCGCGATTCAAAAAAATAGATATGTATACCAATTTGACAGCTATGATGGTTCTTGTGCTAATTTGGTGAATTGCTTTACATAATCTCGGATCAGGTTGTCAATAAATTGTTATGGGGAGTGTTACTTTTTGGTGAATTGCTGTACATAATCTCGGATCAGGTGGTCAATAAATTGTTATGGGGAGTGTTACTTTTGCTCATATTGCCCTTCATTTATAATCAATACTGATTATCGGTTACAGAAATAATTGTTTCAAGTTGGTGATAATTTGAATATCTTATTGGAAATGACACCATAACTAAACGCAGCATTATCAAAAGTTTTAAGTTGGTGCTAATTTGAATTTCTTATATAAAATAATTACAGTCTAATAAACAGCATTATCAATTTATTTGTATTATAACCCAAAAACCTCAAGAATTTAAATTTAGAGGTATTTAGGCTTGAAACTTGAAACAGATATCATCCTTCTCGTCATACTGATGTGGATAATGGTATTGAATTACGCAGAATTGTTGTCTTCTTAGGTTGTGTACAAGTGAACTGTTGTACAGTCTCCTATTAGTTTTTTGGACTTTCGCATATTTTGTTTTTTGGAAGTTTGATAACATGGATATTTGTTTCGAATGTCAATAATGTGTATTTCCATGTAGATCCCCTATTCCCCCAACCACCACAAATATTAGACCTTGTCAGGAAAATATTAATTAGATTAGCAGCACTACTTCACCACTCCAATCTTTGTGGCGTAGGGTACATGTTACGTGTAGGACAAAATAAAGAATATAACCCATGACAATTTTGGAATAGAAAATTGAAGTTTTTATGGTGAAAAGGAAATATTAGACATCTAATGTTTCCAGTTATTGACATACATCTGAACTAACAAATGGTTTTCATAATAGGTGTTTGATGGACATGGGGGAAAGGATGCAGCACAGTTTGTTCGTGACCACTTACCAAGGGTCATTGTTGAAGATGCTGATTTCCCTTTAGAACTTGAGAAAGTGGTCACAAGGTCATTCATGGAAACTGATGCTGCTTTTGCAAAGTCATGCTCTCTTGGGTCTGCCCTGTCGTCTGGCACAACTGCACTCACTGCAATGATATTTGGGAGGTAATCTGTCATTTGGCCATTTGTTGTTTCTTAATTGCCTAAGTTGATGATTGTTTAACCCATTCATTTGAATTTATGCACAAATGGCCTGTTTTGAAATCAGAGAAATGATTGCAGCCAGTAATAGGTGTGAGTTGGTGACAGTAGGAAAGTTAAGTCTAATGGAGGAAGTCGATACAAACATTTATCTGAGAAAATAAAATGAAAATGTGACAAATGACCAAGTCAATTACATCAGGCCCAACAACCCCCTTGCCTCGAGATTGGTAATGTTATTTCTTGCTATATATGGTAATGTTATTTCATGCTATATATGTTCATCTATGAAGCACAGATGCTACAAAATAGGCATTGCAGTGGTGTCAGACATGGGACAGTGGGGACATTGGGGACACATATGGGACACGCCATGTGGCGTGTCCCTTTAATTTTACTATATTTTTGCATGGGACATGGCAGGGACGCGCTGGGAACACGGATGGGTTTTTTTCCCTTAATTTTTGTAAATGTTCTTTGGGGTCAAAGTGTAAAATTAAGAAAGTAAAAAAAAGACAAAAGCATAATTAAACCTCTGCTTTTGCCCTAAATCTCTAAATCAGAAGAACCAAAAAAAGAGAAGAAAACAATAGAGTGGTTATTGTTTAAATGCAGTGGTTAATGTTAATTTTTATTAATTTTGATTGCTTGGTAGCATAATATTAATTTACATTTCAAATATATATAAAAATAAAAATAAATTTTTCCATATCCTCATTTTTTTTAAATCACCATGTCCGTACCCGTGTCCGTGTCCCCATTTTTTTGAAATTATTGGGTCCCGAGTCCGTGTCCATATCCGTGCTTCATAGATGTTCATGCATCTTATTGATAAGAATCTGTACATCATTTTTTTTTTTGTTGCTTTTGTGATGTGACTTTGGGTCTGTTTAGCATCCCTTGATTATGAATGACTCCATTTACTTTTAGCATAGAAAATCAATTTGGAAATTTGTTGTGTTGAATTGGGCCATCAAGCACAATAGAGGATTTAACCTTATTTCTTTGCAGTGCCAATCATTTTCCCATTTTGTTGAAATAGTTAATCCTCCTCGAAGGAAGTTCTAAACTAGAATATTGGCCTCAGAATCTGGTTTTTTCCTTCTCTTGTAATATTTCCCAAACTTTCCAACCATGTCCTTTGCATCACTTCATCTCCTTTTGAAAGATGTTACCATGTCGATGAATGCCTCAAGAATATGGCTATTGCTAAATTATTATCACTTTGGACAGATCTTTACTCGTTGCAAATGCCGGAGATTGCCGGGCAGTACTGTCTCGACATGGAATGGCCATAGAGATGTCGAAAGATCACAGGCCTTGCTGCAACAATGAAAGGATAAGGATCGAGTCACTGGGGGGATTTATCGATGATGGCTATTTGAATGGTCAGTTGGGTGTAACCCGTGCCTTAGGTGACTGGCATATCAATGGACTAAAGTTAGTGGAAGAAGGCGGACCTGTGATGTGACGCGAACTCAAGTGTGGGCGACATTAAACAAAAGAAGATGAGTTTTTGATAATCGGTAGTGATGGAATATGGGATGTGTTTAGTAGCCAAAATGCTGTGGACTTTGCGAGGAAGAAACTCCAAGAGCACAATGATGTGAAGTTGTGCTGCAAAGAAATAGTCAAGGAAGCAATAAAGCGCGGAGCGGCAGACAACCTGACGGTGGTGATGGTTTGTTTTCATTTGGAACCGCCTCCTCCCCATGTGGTGGTGCAACGGCCAAGATTCAAAAGGAGCATTTCTGCAGAGGGACTTCGAAATCTCAAGTGTCTGCTAGAAGGATAGAGGTTCGATTTATCTGTTTACTAGTTTGGTTTTTAAAATTGGCGGGCAAAGCTAAAGAGTAGTAAATAATTGTACTTAGCCGGTGATGATGATGATGATAATTGGCTCATTTCTGGAGTGGTGTTGTACATGTATATATACTCTTTTCATTTTTTTGGACAACGTTCTTGTTTCATAGTGTCCAACTTGGTTGTCAAGATACTGGGAGAAATAAAAAAAAAATTAATGGGAAATTAGTGTTGTTTGTAAACAGATTTTGTGATACTCAAGTTGTCTGGTCCACTGTTAGCTACTTTGTTACTAAACAGAGCTAGACTCTACAGTGATCTTTTCATGGAAACTAGGCATGTTTATTTGTACGAACTGGATAAGGAAATTGTCATTTATTGAACTATTAATTTTCAAATACATAGTTCCTTAATTATTTAGTTGGAAATGATGTATATTTCATATTTGTTTAGTCATGAGATTAGTAGTCAAGCAATGACTATTTTATTAAATTCTATGTTTGGTTGAAATATTATAAAAAAAGGATAGATGCTCAAAATACTATTTTATAGTGTATTATTAAGAGTTCCGCTTTCATTTAAATCGTTAGATAATCAAGAATCGGGCCCAAGGCTTCTTTGATAAAAGTGAATAGGTCTGAAACCCACTTTGGAGAAGTATAACCTTTCACTCCAGACTCTGAGTCAAAGTACAAGATTCAAGGCTTCGCTTTTGGCAAGTAATCACGAGAACTAGATATCGTTCTAGTAGACGAAAAGAATTCTCGAATATTATCTAAATAGAACCTTGAATTCAAGGTTGAGAACTTTGAATTCACAAGAAAGAGAAAATATCTGAATATTATAACATAAAAGTTCAATAAAAGTTATCTTTGCCATGAGGCTTACATTGATATTTATAATAATGTAAACCTTGGAGACTAAGTATTCTTTGACACCAAGAAAATTCAAATTAGGAAATAACAAACTAATCTAATTCTTTTTGGGTGAATAACTAATCTGATTCTTAAAAAACAAGAAACTTAAAAAATTAAGAAAATAAAATAAATCTAAATTAAGAAACTTAATTCTAAAATATTTATACTAAATTACAGAATTCTAATCAATTGATATATCAAAAATATTAAAAATAAAAATTTAGAGATTCTTACAGCAAACTCCTCTTCTTTGAAAGAATTCATCCTCGAGTTTTGACTAGAGATCTGCCATCTTCCATGCCAAGTAAAGAGAAATTTTGAATACTTCAGTTGCTTGTCCCTCTTCCAAAAGTTATATGTAGAAAATATATTTTTGAAAGTTCTCTGTATGTTTCAACTGGTTCACAAGATCAATTAGACAAGTATTGAAAATCAAATTAAATTGCTCCCCCACCAAAAAAATCAACAAAATTTATTTTATGTAGAATTGCATGCTCTCTTGATTTTGCACCATCTCTGATGCAATTGACCCTTCAATTATCAACCTTGGAACATCAAGCATAGCATCAACCAATTTCTTTGTTACACAAAATGGATGTATTATCTCTTCTTCTATTTTCTCTTTGTTATTAGGCTCAATCCGATATCCTTCTTCTTCAATATTTTTATGATCTGTTTGTAAAACTTTCTTCCCAATATTCAAATTAGCACGTGTTGATGCATTATCAAGACTCGAACAATACTTTGTATCTTCTTCATTAGTTTTACAAACAATCTCATCACAAATAATATTTGGATGCAAATTTTTTTCTTTTGCAACTACAATTTCATCGCAAATTTTTACAGACTCCATGAAAGTATCTTGATTTGTATATGACAATATATCATGATCATGAAAGTAAAATTTTCTTGCTTAAAACTTTTTCATTATTAACCATGAATGAATTTTGTCTTTAACTTTGCAAACTCAATAATCTTGTAATCCATTCTACCACTTCAATGCCATTTTATCAAGTTTGTATGATGCAAATATAATCTTCTTTTCATAAGGAATCTTCATGAATTCAAAGAAATTTTCAAGATCAAGCAATCAATCAAGAAAATTTTCTTTTTAAAACTTACTTGAACTGTTAAAATATGAAATTTTTCAAAATAACGTAAGCTAATAGGTTGGCCTTGGGTGAATCCTCTGGCGCAATTGCTATTAACTATTGTTGCCTCCAGTTGACAATTAGTCCCAAATCGACAAGTAGATTACAAATCTCATTGCGAAGTTCATGCAACTCTAACCGATGTTCCTCAATCGCATCCCATATGGCTTCCACCCTACGATCAACATCAATAGGGATTGTGTGTTCTCCATCGTCTTGTGTCATTGAGCTAGTGAATCAATGCTCTGATACCACTTGAAGTAGCAAAATAAACGGGGACTAAATATCATTCTAGTAGACGAAAGGGATTCTCAAATCTATGAGAAAAATAGAATATTAAATCCACAAGAAAGAGAAAATATCTTAATATTATTATATAAAAGTTGAATAAAAGTTATATTTTCCGTAAGGCTTACATAGATATTTATAATAATATAAACGTTGGAGACCAAGTAATCTGGGACACCAAAAAAACTCAAATTATGAAATAATAAACTAATCTAATTCATGGAAAACAAGAAACCTAAGAAATTAGGAAAGTAAAATAAATCTAAATTAAGAAACCTAATTCTAAAAGATTTATACTAAATTATAAAATTTTAATAAACTAATATATCAAAAATATTAAAACTAAAAGTATAGAAATTCTTAAAATCTTGTCCTATATCATTTTGTCTTTTTCGATATAGCAATATTAAATCTGACTTATAAATTTTATTTTATTTTTTGGCTAGAACTTCTAAAAACTTAAATAAATAGAATATCAATAAAAATTAAATTATTTTATTTTATTTTATTTTTTGATTGAGACTTTTAAATTTCATTTTATTTTACTAAGTACAATACATAACATTAAAAAGAACATCAATAAAAATTACCAATGTTAAAATCTGAACTAAATACGAAATAGAAAGTCAACGCATCAAATGTCCTAATGCAAATTAGAATTAATTATCCAACAACAATACAAATTAAAGTGAACCATATCACAAATATTTTCTATATTTTTTTAAAAAATAAAAGCTAATTTGAGAAAAATAAATATCAAAAATTAATTTTTAAATTAATTTTTTTTTTTCATGAATCTAATTTTTAGTTTTTTTAAAAATAAATAAATAAATAAAAAATATTCTAAAAATCAAACCAAACGTGGCCTAAATACTTGGAGGGCAAAATTGTCTTTTACCAACTAATCCAGAGGAGGGCTGGTCCAACACATTTGTATCCCACCCCTTTCCCTAAGACAGGATAGTCTCACTTATGGGACACTAGCAGTCCGGTCAGACTATTAGTCAAACCTACAATTTTCAACAAAATAACAGACTAAGTGTGATTTCACCCATGGAGTCCAATCCTATTAGTCAAGCCTACACATGGAGTCCAATTCCACCCTCCAATCCCTCCAGACCTAGCTGTTTAGAAAGTGAATATGTTTGATAGTTTGGCAAATCAAAGCTCGAAGGCTGGAACCAAAAGCTAGGAGTTCTTGTGACATTAAAAAAATCGAAAAATTGACCAAATTGATTAAATCAGACTGAATCGATCATATTTGATATGTTTTTTAACAAGAGTCAATCTGTGCAGTTTTTTAATTTGATTTTTTTTTAGTTTTTGATTCAGTACCGGTTCAAGTATCATGTGCACCAAACTAAACCAAAACCAACCGCTTCAACATATATTGTATTTATATATATAATATAACAATATAATGATATTAATAAATATAATAAATTATTAACCTCAATTAATTAACATTATCATCCCTCTAATCTAGGGGTGACCATTGGTTCAATGGTTAAGACTTGACCTAATAACGTTGAGGTTATGGGTTCAAGTCTTGGGACCACCACTTTGTGTATTATGCCAAAGGTTAGGTGTGGACTCAATCTTTACCCTCCCAAACACACATTAATGTGTACTAAGTGGGCGTTGTTTTATCATCCCTCTAATCTAAGTTAGAACCCCTTAGTTTTTTTGTTTGTATTTTTGTTAATTTAGGAATTAAAAGTATTTATTTAATGGATAGATTGGATATGTTTGAAGTGGTTGACAAATGGGTAATTCAATACTTTTACATACATTAGTGACTATACTAAAAAGTAACTCAAATTTAAAAGATCATATTCCGATCAAACAGCACTGAATCGAACTATTTTAGTCAGTGCAGTTTGATGGAAGAAGCAGTCTGTATCGATACTCAAAATAATAAAATCGACACAATCAGTTTGGTGCAAAATTTTACCAAAATACCGAGCATATTAAACCGATTATATCCACAATGACTTGAAGATAGGGAGTCAGTCATTTGAGAAGCTCAGAAACAATATCCCAAACAGGAGTATTTCCTGGAAATTTTAGTTTGAAAATAACTCAGATTTTATGCCAAAAAAAATATTTCTGTATTTTTGAAAATTGTATTTGCACAATATGAAACTATGGATGGCTTCAAAATTTTCATTATTTTTGTTTTCAAAAAGGAAAACAACGAAAATGAAAACACGACAGACAATTGGTTAAAAAATAAATATACAATACAAAACAAACACAACATGCAGAAGCAAGCTGCCATAAAATCCTTGAATAAAATATTCTTTACACAAGAAGGAATATATCACTCAAAAAATTGTACATTTATTTATTGATGACATCAACAAAAGCAATATTTGCTGCTCTATTGCTCCCTTGAATAAAATATTCTTTACACAAGAAGGAATACATCACTCCTCAAAAAATTGTACATTTATTTATTGATGACAACAACAAAAGCAATATTTGCTGCTCTAATTGCTCCCCTGTGCATAAGCCATGCCGCGAGCCAGAGAACTATCAAACCATCAGTCTCTAAGATGCTTAACCCTATATCCTGTTCTCCATCCGGATGTTGATTTCTCTTTCAATCAATTGATCATTTTTTTTTCCCCTCTCTTTCCAGAACTTCCATAGAACGGCCAGCCATTGTAAGAGGCGCTAAATCTGTCTACACATCGGTCACCGGAACCACAAAGATTCTTATACAGGAAGCCACCAATGAAACAACAGCCTTTATACAGTTTGTATACAAACTGCAGATGACTAAAACTTGGAAATCAGCTTTTTCCAGCAAAATGAACAACAATTTCTGACTAAAAATTTCCAAAAGCAGTTCCCATTCCCCCCACCCCCAATAAAAGTAGAGGGAGAGAGAGAGA